TATGCTGCTGCTTCACTGCTTCTCCTGAGGGAGACTTTGGTGAAAATGGGCATTTTATCAAGCTAGTACAGCATCACTGAGCAACTTCCAGCAATGGGCTGACAGGCATTTACAAATAGTTCATCTTTAAAGCTCTGTCAGCTGAAGTTGGAGTCACTTCTGAAACAACGTAAAATAAAACAAACAAAAAACTGGATAATTACTTCCTGGACTTCCTTCTAACTTGTCTCAAATGAAATAAAATTACAATGAAATGCAATGACAGTTTATGTAAGGTTGCTTTCTGGCTTATATATAATTTAATGACTCTGTTTCTGGAACTTGCTCCTAGTTTTCATATATTGATGCCTACTACAGAGTGGTGGTTTTAAAATTACTTTTAATAACATACCCCATCTATAAAAACATAAAAAGTTGCCTTTAATATATGTATATTTCTCTACTTTAAATTGCATACATATATGACTATGTGACTATATGTTACATATTTTAAAACATATACAAAAGTGGAAAGATTAAGATCAATGTGGTAAATATTAATAGAAGTTCAAATATTTCTTCCTGTACCCAGTGAGGTCCCAGGGGTTTGTTGTGGTGACCACTGCTAAGAGGAAGCTGGAGTCAATCAACACATCACTGTCAATCTCTCTCTCTCTCTCTCTCTCTCTCTCTCTCTCTCTCTCTGGAATAAGATTAAAAGATGCATCAATAATTAATGTAGAAAGGAGAAATGTACACTGTTGGAGCTTTCATCTTGTTTCTTATAAGCTGATGTGACCCATTGTTCATGTTCTGTGCCAGCCTTTCATCCTTATATCCTATGCCTGACACAGAATGAGTGTCCCATAATTGTGTTGTTGGTTGAATATCTTCATTCCCTATCCTTTCTTCTCTGACTCAACACAAATGTAAAATAGAAACCAATGCAAATGCCTCATTCTCCATATAAAATGGAGAATTTTGATCACTTTTCCTTTGGTTATTTTTTAACTTATTTAGCTTATTATTTCAATACTTATGAAGTGCCTAGTATTTTATAATGTATCAGATGGGGGGACGCAAAGATAAAAAACTATCTAATCATTGCCCCAGAGGTCAGTCTCTGAGGTGGGAAGAGGCAGGGGGTGGTCATTTTCACAACCTTGAACAGAAAGAAACTATTTCCAGTAGCAGGATTGGGCAGAAGCACTGTGTCTGATTATGATGTTTGATTACTATTTATATACTGCTTTTTATTATAGTGTTTTTTTAGATTCATGCTATCATTCCTTTCTTGTAAACACAAGTAATCAACCAATAAATCAGCACTACTCACTTTTTACCTTTAAGAAAATGATCAGAAAACATGTTAACTGACCAAAATCCATTAATCTAAAAATTGAAACCCAATTCTATATTCAAAATTACTCTCTTAATACCAAGTTGACTTTATTCCTAGAAACACCTGAAATTAAAATATGGCAAATTATTTTTAATAAGGGTTGGTCAACTCACTTAGCATGAAAAATCATCTTCTTTCTTTCCCATTCCAATTTCCATCACACATGAGATCTTGCTGTGTGTGTTTCATAATGAAGCCACTGAGCTTAGTTTATGTCCCTTCTTATTTAAACTTCTATTTTTGCTCATTTAAAAAAAAATAGAGTTAATTTCATTTTAGCAATAACTAATACATGCTCATTGCTAAAAAGAAAAATAAGAAAATATTTATTATTCAAAGGTAACCATTGTTAGAGTTTCATATTTATTCATAGTTATTTTAAAAATCAATTTTTTCCATAAGAATTAATTTCAATGTCCTGCTGAGATTTTAATCTTTAGTTTATGCACATTTATTTTTATGTCATTGACATTAATACATTAGGTTGGTCTCCTTTTAAATTTATCATACAATCTAGTGATTAATGACTTTGTCTCCTTTTTAAAAATTTAACTTGGGAGTTTGTAATTTTTTTAGTGTTTCTAGCATCTCACATTTCCTTAGGGTATATTCTGGCTAACTTTCATATTCTCAATAACCTCCCAGTTTGTCCCACCACCTTGGTATTCCTGAATGAATATGGGAAGGTCAGGATCTCTCCATCAGTACTTGGATCATTCCTCCTTTTTCCCACTCTCATGCCCAACACCTCCTGTCTTTGTACCATCACATATACAGGGATAGCTGATAACTCAATTTATGTTTCTTCCTTTTCTGATTTAACCCATTGGAATTAATAATTATTCAAATTGTGTATACATTTTTTGGGAACACCTGTATATGTGCTTACACTCATTTGAATTCTCACCACACTTGCCATGTTCCCTCTGACAAGTCTCCTAGCTGGTTTGCCCTCTTTTATCTGCATCGTCCTCAGATTCAGTGCTCCCTCCTCTATCTGAGAGGATGAGTCATCTCACCTCCAACCTCTCTTTCTTGGCCTCAGTCCAGGGTCCTATTACATACGTCCTAATGGCCATACTGCACTTGTGTCCCCTCCACCCCCCCCCCACCGTGTAGTACACACACTCTATGGAAATATTTCATTCAGATGCACATAATTTTGTTTATAAAACCAGGCCAGTTGCTCAGTGTTCACCATTATAGGCAGATACTCAGTGCAAAAGAAAAGAAAAAAGACAATGCACAACAATGACAAGAGCAACTAGCCAATCAGTATAATATCCCTTCTCTCTTTGTACAATCAGCTCCAGCTGTAGGCCCTTTATCTTGAGGGTTCATAGAATGCACACATGTAATTAACCCAAATAAACCCACATTTGTGAAAAACATTTTGAAGACTTCAGCACAAAAGAGCACTTTTTGATCCAGATCCTGTACTATTCTGAATTAAAAATAAATAAATAAATAAAAAACACACAGAGAAGCCTCATCAACAGTACCCCAATTAAATTCATCAGTTCACAGATGTTTACAGGAAAATGCTCAGCACAAAATTCCACCAAGAATTTCTGTTTCCTGGGGAAAGGGATGGATGATGACAATAGTAATGCTAATAAGAGCTACCATTAATAAGTACTTCAATGCACCTGTCACTTCACATAGGTGAGTGTGTTTAAATCCAGTGATTCTTTTCATACCTATTTACACATGTCAAAACAGAGGCCAAAAAGTTGAGATAAGGTCACACAGCTAGAAAGTGCCAGGAAAGGACTAAGATCCAGGTCTGTATGACACAAAAGCATGTGCTTTTAATGACTGCATCCTTAATATCACACCACTCACTCCATGTCTAAATGCTCTTTAAATTTTCCAACACTTTCTTGTTTCAAATAAAAACAGAACGACCCACCACCATTGTAAATTACTCCCCCGATGTCCTCTTTCCCCGCTCCTCACCTCCACCGAGGCTTCATCTGCTTTCTGGCCCAAAGATGCTCCTTGTGGTCTAAGAGTCTGTCAGCAAAGTCATTCTCAGAAAACATGCTTCAATTTTCAAGACTGTTTCACTGCCCACCTTAAAAATGCAATTTAATAAGCACTGCCCGCACCTCTTTTTCATGGGTAATCTAATGAGCTGTGTGCTTTCTGTACCCTGGGGAGAGACTATGAGCCCTTGTCGAAAACAGAGCTCCTGTGCCCATATAAGTTAATCCAGGTGGTTTCTAGCCTTTGAGTCTATTCCTTGACTTGTTATCCCCTCTGAGTTTTGCCAGCAAATTCCTCTTCCATTTTGTTTTATCAATATACAGGGTGTTTCTCCCCCCCCCCCTTCAAAAAAATGTATATGCACTTTAATAGCTGATAGCTCAATTTTGAAAATGAAATGTATTCTAATAAGCAGGGCCTTTATAATTATTCAAAGTGTGTGTATACCTTTTGGGGGACACACACTCTATAGGTGATGCTGGGGCCGTTGGTCATGATATTCAGAGCTACCTTGAGTAATAATTTTTGAGATAAAACATCTACTTCAATACACATTTTAAATGACTCTATATGAGCACCATTTGTAAATAGTCATTATTTAGGTACAAGTGATACTGTCCTAAAACAAGTGGTCAAATATATAAGAAGGCCTCGAAGAGACAGATATACCCAGCTATGATCCATTTTATTTATTTATCTTTTAACTATGTCAGTATATTTGGATGATGCAATATAGTCACCACTGTATTGAGGAAGAAGTATAATGATTACTCAGGCTTATATAACACTTTGGAATTTATGTTACTTCTATTTGTAAACTTGGAAAGAGACTCTGTTCTCTTCAAGAGAGAAAGAATAGATGGTGTGAGCCCAGGGTTTCAATGAACCAGCACTCAAGGGCAGTATCATTTTCATTTTTCAGGAGGACTGTAATCCAACGGATGGCTTTGCCCTTTGGAGGCTGTGTGGCCTATTTGTTGCAAGCTTGCCTCAGTTTTTCTCATCTGTACAATGGCCCTAATTATTCATGCTTTCCTCAGGGAGCTATAACCAGGATCCATTATATGATTTGTGTCAGAACTTATACATAGTACACTGAAAACATATGACATGCAGATTTCAAATAAGTGTTAACTATTAATATTATTACTGTTATTTTTTTCTCTATTACACAAGGGCTGCCATGATCAACTGTGTTTCCATACCTGTAGTCCCTCTATGTTCTCACTTTCTGCATGAACCCATTCTATCTATTCATTCCATAAACAACTGTGTCCTTAGAATGTATTAGAAAGTGAGTTTCAGGGAAGCTGGGACTTTGTCTGGAAGAATAAGAAAGACATTTGACCAGTGCTTTCACTTTTCCACAAAGAGTGTTCTGCTTGCTGTTACAATGTAGTGCTTCATCACAGGAAAAGGCAGGAGCAACCTTGTTTTTTAGCATCAACAGCTCTATCTCACCTGTTTTGGCTAATGCCATTAATCTGTTCTGCCAAAGTATAAAATACTGAACTATAATCATTGCAATTCATCTTGAAATGAGGTCAAAATGCCACGTATCTTTTTGCCTGAGTACTTCCCTTCACCTACAGAGTTTTGACTCTAATATTGAATTTTTTTCACCCCTTAGGTAAACAACTACAGTTTAGAAGAAGTAACACATGAAGAGGCAGTAGCAATATTAAAGAACACATCAGATGTAGTTTATCTAAAAGTTGGCAAGCCCACCACCATTTATATGACTGATCCTTATGGCCCACCTGATATTACTCACTGTAAGTACCACCCTCTATGTCATCTTCAAATAGCATGCCAGGTTTGTGAAATTGGAATTCTGCAAACCTTGGCCAAGTCCTGTGCTCGTACCTGCCCATTTGTTAAGCCTGTAGAAATACTTCAGGCGGATCCTGTGCTCTACTCCCTGGTTGCCTAGTGTTTTGAAGGTGAGATCCCCTGATGATTTGGCAGGCCTGTCACTGTGGAAAGGCTTAATAATGTATATTGTAGACAGTGTGGTTATAATAACATAGGAGCAACACATTTTAAAGGGCTATTTCTTAAGTCCCTAAAGCACAATGTCTCTCATGCCATAATATTTTCTCTTCCTGGTTCAAATCTATATGATAGCAGAGGGGAAAATACAGGTTGGCAAAATAAACCCAAGATAATACTATGCATCTTTTTGGCAGGGGGCAAGGGGGGGTGGGGGCAGAGAAAATCTTATATTTGGTGAATCCCCCTAGCCCCCCACCAAGAAGATGCATAGTATTCCAATCCAATACTTGGATCCTCATAGCTCTTACCTTTACCTGGTTTTATTATCGATATATTGGTAGAGAAGCCAGATAAATTTGTTAGTCACTAAGGCAGTAAAGGTGGGTTGAAGGTAGGGATTTCTAGGGCAAAAACTAAACTATGAGATGCTGTCTTTTCTAGAACTCTTCTTAATAGGTCAATAAGAACTTACCTAAAGTTCTGTCTTAGTGGACCTAATTGTGAAGCAATTCTTTTTTTTATTGAGTTTAAGGTACAGTTTTGTTGACATCAGTAAGGTTTCTCACTCTGAGATTTTGAGTAGCCACTTGGAAGGTTTGGGAACACAGAATGTCTTCAGGACCTGCCATTAATTAGGACCATGGTCTTAAGCAAATTGGTTAACCTCTCCAAGATATAGATCTTTCTCTTGAGAGAAGTTTATAGGTTGAATAATGCTATTACTTGCCCATTACATTAGCTATTGCTTTTCTTAATGGTGATTCTAAAGTGACTTGCCCCCAGATAGGCTTTTTGTTTTTTTCCAAGCAGGTAGTAATCTGAGATAAGCCTTACCTTAGGATATGATAGAGGTTGAATCTCAAAGTGTTTCAAACTGGATGAACTTAGAAAAATCAGCCTTGATACTCTGTGAACTACTTCATGAAAGCTTATAAGATTATTTCAAAAGAGAGAAAATAAAACTTGCTATTCAAGTAAGAAATATGTATTGAGCAACTTTAATACGTACAAAACACCTTGTTAGGTAATATATGGGATACACAGGATATACCACCATGGCTTTCATTAGAAGAAACACTAATTCAGAAATATAAATAGCAGCAACAGATGGCAAAATAAAAGGATGCATAGGCCATGAAACAGGTAAAAAAAAAAAAAAAAAAAAATATATATATATATATATATATATATATATATATATATATATATGTATGTCCTTTGGGACTTAAAGGGAGAGGATATTACCTGCTTTTAGAAGATTAAAAAAAATATGCAGAAGGTGGTATTTGAAAATTATCCTAGAGAATAGATGAGATTTCAATATCAGAGTTGGGGTAGGAGGCAGGAATTGTTGCAATGAATATAGTGGAACAAAGGTACAGGTGTTGTGAAGGACAGGCTTTGTTTGAAGGCCATAAGACATCTGGAAGGGAGATTGGAAATGGGCCAATCTTGTAAGAACGGTGATAGGGAGAGGAAGTATTCAATACTCTCCTGGTAATGAAGAGCATTTAAGCTAGAGAACATCATGATCAGAGCTGGAACTCTCAATGTATAAAATAGAAAGAGGGAGCAGGAGAGCCAGTTAGGAGGGGTTTTCAGCATCCCAAAAGGAGATGAGTTAGAGTGAGTGAATAGAAAAGAAGGCCTGAGTTCTTAGTCTTCCTACTCTGTGAGTACAGCAGATTTTTTATTAAAATATATACAAGAACTTGTTCCTAGGAACCTTTTGCTTTTGATGATTGGATAGAAATTATGTGAAAAGAATGTGAGCACTGTACTTAGAAAGCCAACATTTTTATTTCAATAGAAAAATGAATCATCATTCTGAAAACATGTATGCTAAATCTCTCCTCCAATTCTTCGCTTCATCTAATTATGCTAACAGGGCTTATCATATAACTGCTAGTATATCTTCCAATCCTAAAGGTCACTTTGTGCTCATACATATTATATGCAAACAAACAGTACCCGCCCCCTCTTGGAGGACAAGAAAATTCTTGGCATGTAGCGAAGCCTTTCTGTTTTTAATAAAACCATAGCATGAGACATTGAATCACCCACATAACAGGGTTTTTTCTTTCTTTCCTTTTCTTTTTTCACCTCGTAGCTTACTCTCCACCGATGGAAAACCATCTACTTTCTGGCAACAATGGCACTTTAGAATATAAAACCTCCCTGCCACCCATCTCTCCGGGAAGGTACTCACCAATTCCAAAGCACATGCTTGTTGAGGACGATTACACCAGGTCAGATATGCTTTTTGGTTAATTGGGTTTGTGGTCATTACCAGGAAGAAACTGCATTTGCCTAATGTGTCAGCGGTTGCTTTGGGGCTAACTGAAACTTCTTAGTGCCAAGCTTATGACAGTCTTGCTCCCAGGAGAAATCTGCAAATACTTGTCAACATGTGTCGTCGGTCTCTGATAGAAAGCAAAATCACAAATTCTTTGTTGAGAAATAGAAATATATACTTACCCATCAATTTTTAAGACTTTTAATATATGATCCTACTTGAGCTTTATAACCATGCTGTAAGAAAGGTATTGTTACTTAAGGAGGGAGGATGGTGCTAAGAATTCAAAAGAAGGAAGTATCATACCAATAATGCATATCTGGTGAATGGAAGAGTCAGGACTGAAACTTTTATCTTTTTTTTTATTAAGGTATTATATGTGTACATATCTTTTCCATTGCCCCCCCCATACCTATTCATGCCTTCCCCCTCAGAGTTTTTCATCCATTGTTTATGCTTATATGCATGCATACAAGTCCTTCGGTTGATCTCTTATCTCACCCATATCTCCCTATCCTCCCTGCTGTAATTTGAGTCTGTTGGTTTACTGTCTCTGTATCTATCTTTTTGTTCATCAATTTATAATGTTCTTTATTATCCAAAAATGAGTGATGTCATGTGGTGTTTCTCTTTCATTGACTGGCTTATTTCACTCAGCATGATGTTCTCCAATTCCATCCAGGTTGCTGCAAATGATAAGAATTCCTTCTTTTTTATGGCAGCATAGTATTCCATTGTGTAGATGTAACATAGTTTTTTTCTTTTTTTCTTTTTTTTTTTCAAATATATTTTATTGATTTTTGTACAGAGAGGAAGGGAGAGAGATAGAGAGTTAGAAACATCGATGAGAGAGAGTCATCGATCAGCTGCCTCTTGCACACCCCCTACTGGGGATGTGCCCGCAACCAAGGTACATGCCCTTGACCGGAATCGAACCCGGGACCTTTCAGTCCCCAAGCTGACGCTCTATCCATTGAGCCAAACCAGCCTCGGCGTAACATAGTTTTTTTATCCAATCATCTGCTGACGGGCACCTAGGCTGTTTCCAAATCCTAGCTATTGTAGATTGTGCTGCTATGAACATAGAGGTGCATATATCCTTTCTGATTTGTGTAAAACTTTTATCTTTCTACCCTAAACTTTACTTCTTGCCACCTATGAACACGCACAAGTCAATGGAATTGGGAAGTCAATTAATCCTCCTTCTACTGTGATAACACAGGTGGAAAGGACAGGAGTGAAATTAATTACAAGTGGTTTGAATTTAATATCCTGTTAATTCCCAAAGGGAATAGGATGAGATTTTAGAACAGAGTATAGAATCACATTGCTAACCCCACAAAGTAAAATCATGGTTAGCCAGCATGCCTCTGAAAAAGTCAAGTCTGACAATTCACAGAGAAGACCAATCTTTAATCATTATTACTAAGGATTCAATAAATATGGGTTAATTAATAAATGAATGGGTATATAAAGACTTTTTTAAGTGTACATTTTTCCTTCTATATTTTTAAATATTTTTGGTCGAAAGTAATCTATGCTCATTGCATTTAGGGAAATAATACAAAAATGTCAGGAAGCAAAACTCTCTCCACAAACTATTTCAGGCCAATCAGTCATGAGGTTCCCACTGTGACATCCTGGCATGAACCGTTCACGCAGTCTCCGTGTTCATATACATTCCTAAAAACCAGACTCAGATATGGGTGGGGCTCAACACTGTGTTTACAAAAGAAGTTCATATTTAACATATTGTTCTGCAACGTGCTTTTCTCAGTGAATAATACTTTTTCCCAGAAGGAGATTGCATATAGATATGTACACGTTTTTCTGAAAATGTTTGTGTAAAAATACTCGAGATGAACTCTTTTAATTTTATAGCCTGGCCGTTTAGTGAAGGCATTTGTCGGTTTTTCAAAATGGTCATGCTTTGCTATTTCTTTTTTAATGAGTAAGCACGTTCCATTTATCTTGCAATTTCAGGTTTGCTGAACTAGCTTCTTAGGCTTATAGCCATGGAATGGAATGTTGAGATGCTGCAAATGTGCAACCGTGGTGTACCAGTAAATCAAATATAAACTTATCCCCATACTGAAATATCTGATCTTCACGTTCTTAATTGAAATGAGGGCTGCAGCAAAGTAATCCTCATGGCTCTCCAAAGAATTCTGTAAATTTAGGTATCTTTATTCACCAGAGTAATGATCTATTTGCTCTCATCCTTTCTCCAATATTTAATATTATTTTAATTCAAAAATATTTTATCTTATTAAGACTGTTAGTGAATTAACATTACGAAACCCCTTTATAATCCATACCCTTTGCTAGCTATTTTAGATATAGTATCCACTCAATTATCCCAAGAACAGAAAGGAGGGCTTTCATCCCCAATTTAGAGATGTAGAAATTGAAGCTCAAAGATGTTAAGGAATTTGCTATGGTCACACAGCTTTTAAATGGAAAACAACTGTGTACCCTGCAAGCTTTATCATCCTGGCTAGAAAGAAACATTTTAATTTTCTCATTTTTAAAATGAGCACCAAGACATATAAAACTCTGCTCATTGTAGAAATATATAGCTATTAGAAAGGGATCCGAGAGTTTTGGTGAACTCTAAAAACAAATGTATCAGGATTGAACCTACTTCTGCCACTGGCTAACTGTGTGATGCTGGGCAAATCCTTCAACCATCTCAAGCCTCAGTATCTTCATCAGTATAATGGAAATAGTAATCACATCACCTCAACAGGTTGTTGTAGTGATTAAGCGACACGATGCATGCAAACAACTTGTAACACTGCTGATACAGTGAATATTAAATGAATGCTATCTGTTTACTATAGCTATACTTATTATAATGTTAATGGACCTACAATGTCACATGTAATATTTTAAATTATGCCCCAGAAAGAGAATCCATTTCTTCCTATAGTGATATACCCCAGTATCTTACTTCTTGCCTTGCCTCCTCATTTGTTCTCTGACAAGACAACCTTGTTTATAACGCTGCAAAAATCTGAATGGCTGGTGCCTGGCAAACTGGGGAAGTAATATCAGTACACACGCAACTCTGGTGCTCTCTCACTAGGACCCCGTCCTCTCACAGGTGCTCTGCGCTGTGGGCATTGCCATGGATCTCAGCTGTATTTGCTCAGAGGCAGATTCACTGCCTCATTCATAAACATTTACTGATTACTTCCTACTAAGCAGAAAGCACTGCACTAGGAATGTAAATGTGACTATGAAAAAAAATATCTCTAAGAACTATCAAATTGGAACAGAAATATATTTAAACCAGTGCATCCCTCAAGACCTGTTCCCTGAAAATGCAGGCTCCCTCTATGAAGTTTCCAAAAAGCTTAATCTATTAATTTTTTTTATCCTGAGATTTTATATTTTGGTATCAAATGCCATTTCTTGTGTGGTGGTTTATTATATCCTCACTTAGAAAGTTAAAAGTTGGTATTTCTACATTAGTTCTCACTTTTGTAGAAAAGGTCAGTAAAATCCCAATGTGTGGGACTCCTTAGAGAAACAAACAAAATTAGATCAGTTCTATGAAGTGTTCTCGGTTGTCCTATCAGAGTTCCCTAGCACCACAAGAGGCACATCTTAAATATGTAAATACATATTAGGGAAGTTGAGTTTTGCAGGAATGCCACAAGAATAGCCTATGGCATCAGAGAAAGTGTTAAAGACGAGATAACTCTGGAATTTGAGCTTGAAAAAAATGTGTAGGCATCCATCAGAGAGTCAAGATATCAGGAAGGACATACAGGTCGGGGATAGCAATGCATACTCAAGGAAGAATGAAAAATAGAACCTAATGAAAACAACTTTTACAGTTTGAAATGTGAGGCTCATAAAAAAATAGTACTTCTCTTTAAATTATCTTTATATCCCTATCCTTTCTCTCAACCTACCCGTGTTTCCCCGAAAATAAGATATCCTCTGAAAATAAGACCTAGCGCATGGAACAATAAGACATTCCCTGAAAATAAGACCTAGGGCATCTTTCGGAGCAAAAATTAATATAAGACACTGTCTTATTTTCAGGGAAACAGGGTAGTTATAAGATTAAAAATATATCAAGTGGTAAAAAACAAAAAGATTACACTATGCATTATTAACACCAAGTACTGTAATGTATACTATTGCCCCTATATTACTTATACAATATTCTTATTTCTGATTCTTTACAGAAAACAAAAATGAGTTTAAGTCATTATATGACACAGCAAAGAAATATGAGATACAAAATTTGAATTCAGGTCAGTCAGCCTGTCTTTAAAAGCCGCATCTCCATATTCTGACCTCCTAACTCATGCAGTCTCTTTCCTAAGAGAAATGTTGGATAAAAAGAACTGGGATCATCTCAGGAGGCTGGGTTCTAATCTCAATCCTACTACTTGCTGCCTAGATGACCCTAAACAAGTCATTTAATCTCATTTATAATTTTCTCATCTATAAATTTAGATAAAGGGTCTTCTAATTTCTTCGTGGAATTAATGAGTTTTTCATGTGATAATATATGTGAGAGTTGTCATCTTTAGAGGGCTATGTAAAATTATTATTTAATAGTAAAATTACCAAGATATTATAATAGCTTATATTTGATACCTGTTTTATACTTTCCTAAAATAGTAAATATAGGGAATAAATCTTTAATGATGAGACTCAGACTGATGGAGAAACATTTCTTTGAAAAAGGAATCTTCAATAACTATAAAACCATATCAACTTGGCAGCCTTTTATTTCACATGCTCATAATATCTTACTCTGTTATAAGAAATATTTCTCTATTTTCTTTATTCACATTCACTTTTGTTGAAAGAAATCATAAAAAAATTTTAAAGGATTTTTATTACAATGACTTAGCTGGAATTCTTTAATAAATCTCTTTCTTACTGTTTGAGGAAATGTATACCTGAGTAAACTAGGAAATTTTGTTT